ACTCTGTTTTATTCAGGTCTTTGAGTGAATAAATACCTCCATCTTAAACAGTTGAATCCATGTTAATAAAACAGCATTTTAAAATAAATTAACAAATTAACCAATTACTATAAAACACTGTTGATGGCGTAGGGACCTATAGTGTGTGTGTGTGTGTGTGTGTGTGTGTGTGTGTGTGTGTGTGAGATGGAATCCACACATTTACAACAAACTAAGGTGAAAAAAACAAAACATTTTAATAAAAAATTAAACATAAACAAACCTCCACTTTGGTTGAAGCGCTGCTTTACAATTCCAATGCTGGCTTTGAAGGATGGCTGGTTACCCACACAGATCTGAGTCTGTCTGTCCCAGTACTGTGGATCATCTGCTGTGACTTTGTTCATCCAGTCCTGTTTGGGTACGTTTCTGTTGGTGTTGCTGTCACAGTGGCTTATCTGGACTTCATCAACCAAACCAACAGACACGTACTCTGGGAAGTTTGGGACTCCAGAAGATGCAGTGTAGAAATACTTCAGAGAATGAATCACTGTAAGAAAAAGTGAAAAAATCCATTTAATTATTAAACTTAAAATATAGATAAATAAATAAAATCACTCAATAATGCAATCTGCAGTATAGAACTACAGTACAGTCAAGACATCCTAATAATCTCTTGTGTTGTGCAGTCAATAAATACAAAAATACATTTATAAATAAAAAAAATATTTAACATTTTATTTCATGACTGTTGAAGATTTAATTTTTTCGGATAGAAAATATGAAATGAGTTAAATATTTAGGTCATGCAATCATGTACCTGCCTTACACTGATACAAAGCAGTTTGTAAAACCATTTTTAGTTCTGAATATCTAAATGTGAAGCAATTTGATTATATTAGGCGCATTATGGTCTCTACGTCAGACTATAATTTGTACCCAATCAATAACAACTTTTATCATATTCAAATAACTAACTTATTTTTCTGGTGTTGACAGAGGGAGCGGAAATGTCTTAGTATAACGTTTTTAATACCACCAGCAAAAAAAGTATATCCAATCAAAAATATAAAATACCCTGAATTATCTTTTAATTTGATCTCAGACATTAGTTTCTACTGAGGTCAGTTACTGTACATACTAGATCAAAAGTTAATTTCTTTCAGTAACTACAATATCCCTGAAAACTTCCAAAATTTTATTCTAGATTTTTAGCATCAACCATTTAGACTTTCAGCAGCTGTCTGTGAGTTTTTAGATTATTGTCCATTTCAGATTCTATACTGTTCTCTATTGTCTGAATGCATGTAGATCATATTCCTGTGTTAGGTTGCGCTTAAATATATATATATATATATCCAATAGTAAGCCAATAGTATTTTTTATTTATATAAACCCTTTTTTTTTTCTATCGTGACCAAGACACATACTGAGTGTGACATTTCAGTTTAAAGATCTGTTTGTCAGTGCTCTCTGGTGGACAAACTTTGTGGTGATGGCACTGTTTCTAAATGACCTCAAACCTTGCTTGATTGACATCACTGTGCTGCAATTCCTTGTTACTGATCAACCAACCTATACATTAATACTGATGTATCTGCAATAACTTGATATCAGCAATTATATCATTGGCTACTTTATCTGTCCTGTCTAACACCATGCTATTGTAGATACAGTAACTGTAATAACTGCCAGTGTGATGTGACTGGACCTGACTAACAAACCAAATTGTGAAATGGCTTCTCTATCACTACTATCAGTCAAACAATAGGATGATATGAATTTAAAATGTATTAATCCATTTATTTATGTAGGTTAAGTGGTCAATGATATAAGTATGTACTATATATGTTATATTACATATGTTTTTTCCCTCATATATTGTCACAGAAAAAAGTATTTGCAGACATCCATGTTTGTTATTTATTATATATATTTACTTTATCAGAGGGAGCCAGATTATATTGTAGATATTTTTCCTTCTCCCTGTTTCTTTTCAATAATGAAATATGCAGTATTTGTTTGCAGATTAGTTAATATTTTCTGGTAAATTTTGAATTGGAAGTGTATGTACAAGTGATTGAAAAATAAGATAATTCATCATGTTACAAGGTCAGTAATGTTATCGCCATACACTATGAATGACATTTAATATTGTCAACAAAGCAGGACGTTGTTTGGCATCAATATCTATTCAAACAGCGCCATTAACTGACTAGTGGGTGTAGTAAGAAACAAAAATCTAAAACTTAAACTGCAGCCTTATGTTAATTTACACTATTTATAGATAGAGAGATACTTTATAAATGATTTACACAATTCATTTATGACCCACACAATTTAGACATAACTGTAGTGACTAGTTTAAAGAATGTGAAAATGTATGAATAACATAAATCATATTTAATAACTGTCATGATTAGGCCTACAAGCAGTAAGTTAACTACAACATACTGAGCATATGATTTTCATTTTTGTCGGTTGTTTGGAACATTCGGAGCGTACAACTTTTACATAAGACACGAGCTACTTGAAGATTATAAAGGCCAAGTGTAAAATATATTGTTTTAATGCCACGCCTCACCTGTATATTTTTCATTTTCTTTATCTATCTGTGTTTGTGTTGAACGTTCGCGCTTTTTTAATTATGTTGCCATTGATCTTGATTGACTTGATAAAATATAATAAAAATAATGATAACGATGAAAGAAAAAAAAACATAAATTCATATGTACAGTATTTAAACATATGTAGCACTTACCTGCCGCCGCATCGTGTAGGCCTATTCCCACAAGAACCAAAAAAAGTAAGGTCTTCATTGTGGCCAAGAGGATCAAAATCTTTGCTAGATCAACGATCAGTATGTTTCTGTTTCAAGCCGAGGAGACACTGCGTTTTTAGCTACAGCATCAGAGAAATTAAGGGCGGTCTCCATCTGAGCCAATGAGAATTTAGTCTGAGCGTGTGCGTCACTTAAATCTGGGTTAAACTGACTGACTGAGGTTACAAACGAAAGTGAAAGTAAAATCTTCTCATTTCAGCCTGTGACAGAGGACGGAGGCTGAGAGGAGACACTTTATTTTGGTTTGTCACTTTGTTCACATATGACAGGAGTGTTATAACTTAAACTGCTCACACTCTGTAAATGTTTTATAGACTCATGTGACGTGATGAGCAGAGATGTAGATCTTTTCTGAGAGGTCAGAGGTCACTGTGAGCTACAGATCAGATACTCTGGAGCTTGTGTGGAGACAGCAGCGTCTTTTTCTTCTTCTTTTGTTTTGTGTGACAGTTCTGATTAAAATGTCAACATCAAACAAACAAATCCAAGTGTTGTTGTCTTGATGTTACAGGGAATAAATGTGGTGAACTGCTCCCTCCAGTGGTTCAACCCTCCAGCTGACGTGCAGCAGTACAGTCTCTCAGTGTGGACTGTGGAGGACAAACACAAGAACTAACAGGGGGTTTATTTCAGATGATCAGTTTGCAGTAATATCTGCTCATTAAAAGAGATGGAGGAAACATCTGATATTCTTTTAAAGTCCATTTCCAATAAGATGTTTTGTTGAGTTTCAGGCGTGCACATTAGTGTCGGCACAAATCAGACCTACTGTCAGGACAGACCATAGAACAACACGACACAGTGAACGTGAAGCAATAATTTACTCCAGTGTTTCACTTTTCAAATGAAAACAAGAAGGAAAGAAATAAAAGACAAAGGTCAGCTGGGCTCTGTGCTACAGGCTAAATGCTCCTGGACTGACTGGAGCTGTGAACGCTGCAAACTGCTGCAACAAGAGAAATCCAACTCCACTGTTGATGTTTGAACCAGGTTTGAACACCTGATGCTGCTTTTCATTTTGCTGCTGCTGTGGCAGAGTTTATCATCACTTTAGAAAATGTTAGGAAATCTAGATTGAACTGAAAAACCAAACAGAGATTGAAGTCAGAGCCTCTGTTCTCAGCTCTTCAGTATCAGTCGTGACTGTTACACAAACAGAGCAACATGCGTCACATCTTTTCTCCAGGTGTAAATGTTGTATTTAAATAGTTAGTGACGTGGAGGCTTGAGCTCCGGTTGATGAAGGCTCTTCCTGCTCACTGCTGATCATCACCTGATCCGTGCACGTTGTTGTAAAAATTGTGCGTGTTGCAACTGCTCTCAACTTTCACCTTTATTAATGACTATAAGGCTAAATGTACAGTACTTACATTATAACTAGAACCTGTAGTACTCTGTCATAGTTCCTCATATTATTGAAAATGATCAAAACATCTAAATGTAAAACCCTGAATAATAAAGAATTATAAAGTGAAAGACAGAGGAGTCAGTCATGGGACAGATTATATATCTTTATATAGATTATATATCTTCCTGTAGTAGCTACATGTTCTTCAACAGACCACAGCAAACAGTGACGCAGGGTGTGATGGTGGTGCAGTCAGTGTTGCCAGGTGTGTTACTGTTATCATATCTGTAAATGACTTCTTACTCTCTCAATGTACCATAATATCCATGGGTCATAGTTCAATGTTTTTTCCATAACAGTGAAACACTGTGGAGCTGATTTAGGCCCCAGGCTGATTATTCATCATTTCTTCACTATGACAACAATCCGTTGCAGAGAACTGACTCTGGATCTACTATGAATTATCTGATCACGTCTCTCTTCATTCAGCTGTCCGCTTACAACCTCTTTCACACTTGTTGCTA